GATCTACCTCTACACACTTTCCCTCAAAATCGAAGTTAGCTCAATAAGTATACACCCAGAGCGTCCTCAAAACTTAACTTTTCTTTGCATATCTTCTGGATATGACAATTTGTCTCTGTCCGGCTCGACCCCACTGGCCATCATGCCGGCACAACCACAGCATAGGCCTGCATTGAACTTGCTCGTATCTCGGACCAGGTTGCTTAGAGATTGGAATTGTTGGAATAACACTGGCCGGATCAGACAGGTATAAGTTTGTGAGACAACTGAATGGGCGGGTTTTAAGTAGTAAACCGGGAGTAGCTGATCTGCAAGCCTAAAGAGTCAAGAAGATGGGCTAACCCCAGGCTCCCCGACAACTTACAGGTGGCAGTGGGCCTCGTTTATGGGGACACTTGCTTTTGAAGTTATTTGCACTTCGAAGGAAAAGTTGAGTTTAAGAGATTTGCACATTTGCTTCAATGTGAATAGAAAGAGAGTTGGCTTGGACTGGAAACTCAGTCGTCGACGTACCGTCCTGCGTCTTCGATGAGTCCGTGCAACATCACCAAACGCTTGAAATGTTTATAAGCGCAAACTGTTTCGGACGGAAGTATTAGTGAATGAAAACGACTGATGTACTAACGAATGGATAAAGATTTGAGTGGAAAATAGAATTATGAAATTTATGATTATTTATGTGGGATATGTCCACCCTATTTCGTTAGATGTTATTAAGGACAGGTAGTTGAATTTTCCCACAATTGTATGAGTAAGCATGTAGTATACATTAAATTTGCCATGACCTTCTCTTTCGCAAAAGGTATTATCATCCAGGATGGATCACAGTTTCGGCCTCGCATAGGTCTCATCAACATCCCCAGCGGGACTCAAACCATGACAGTGCCGCGTATAATCTCGACACGTTAACCGCTATGCCACGTTGTTATTCGCGCCCTTGGGTCACAATACAGTTTGGTACTTCAAGTAAGGCCGGGTATCTTTCCATATCACATTCTGTGGTGCAGTTGCCGATAACTTAAACTTATATTTGCTATAGACATCGACGACATTACTCTTTTTTCGAAAGTATGAAGACCAAGATGATGTGGTCTTTTATGTGGTCGCAGTCTCCTTCCGTTGTATAGAAGTTGTTTGACCTTGTTTACGCAACTTGGTCATATTGGTAGGAAGACTTAGAGGAACGC